TATTTTTCAGATAAAATATTTTTCAAATAAAAATAAAAATTAATTATAAAAATTAAAAAATTAAAAACCTAATTTTCGGGGTCCAAAAATTACGGGTCCTAGGTCTTAGTCCGCCCCTGATTCCTGACATGAATCATAGCTAAAAACACTTTCGATTAAGTCACCTTTTAAACAAAAAAGATTAAATCAAAATCAAAGTTCAAAATTTTCATATTTGTTTCAGTACCAAAACTACAGACACAAGCGACCCTTAACACCTTTCGTTTACGGGGTAAAAAAAAAAACAAAAATGGGATATAAGTTAACAAATTATTTTTTGTTTATTTAAGTAATCGGTTGTTCTGGAGTCAACAACTATTTTTACATTGTTTTTATTACGTTTTATTGCAGTTACAACTTACAACTAAATTTGTAATTTACCTAGTTGATTTTATGCATTTGATCTTCTGTTAATCATTTTCTTTATCTATAAAAATATAGCGTAACAAACTTACTTATCTTCTATCAGTTTTAAAATTAAGAGTTTCAATTATAATAATAATTAATATGTATAATTTGCCTCGTCTAACGTTATTTTGTTAATACAATAGTCAATACCAAAGTTTTTCATCGCAAAGAAAAAACAATATACGTATAGGCAACACCCAAATCGTAATCAGCACGCTATAAGCAGTCTTAATAGATCACCCACCAAACTGAAGGAACCCGTTAAAAGTATATCTGCTGTTCTTTGGTCTCTATAGACTAACCATTGCGACACTCATGATGAAGTAAAATTTGCAAACTTGAACATTTGGAAATCATTTATTAAAGCGATGTTTAAATCCCTTTTTCGATTAGTATTAAGAGAACGTCCTGATTACAGGAATGTCGCTGAGTAAGAAACTAATTCTCATTAGTAATGTTACATACTATACGTAGGTTGGTACATATGTAAGAAATTGTTGAACTTTTAATACAATACTTTTTCTTCCTTACCAGAAAAAAGTTAGACTCACCCTTCTAATTAAACTTCTCAAAGACTGAAAAGTCCTCGTCTCATATAAGAAAAGTTATATCCCGACTAGAATTTGTAGGGATTTTACAAATAAGTGGTGTATATTAGAGTGCTTTAAACAAAAATTTAATTTTTTAATTTAAACAAAATTTTTAATTTTTTTTTCTAACCCTTACCCCCTCAAATGTTTCTATTTGATGTAAAAAAATCCTCGTCAAACATGAGCCCTATAGCTCAAATCTA